TGTCATACTTTTTTTGCTCACACACACAGACTTTCTTGCGCGGAAGTTCAAAGAGAGAGGGAGAGAGAGTTATGAAAAGGGTCTCAGGCTCAGGCGAAGGTGAGCGGCGGGAAGAGAAGGGGTGGCAGCGGCGTCAAAGGGAGGGGGGGGGGGGGGACTTGATTGGCATTGTTGGTGGGTGCTTGGGGCAGTTGGTGGATTGGGGTGGTACCCTGGGCGTTGCATTTTTCTGTTGAGCTCGCGCGTGCGTGCTGATTTTGATTTGGCCACGTGTTCAGGTTCGGCAGTCAGACCTGCAAGCATGTCTCGTGTGGATGATGGCCTGTACATTGGGAGCCTGGAGTTGCTCCAGGATCATGCCTTGATGGGAGAACTGGGGGTGACTGATGTGCTGTCCGTCATGACAGATTCAATTCTCGAGTGAGTAGAACAGTTGGACGCTGAAGATGCCGTTCGGTGTGACCGCTCGGTTCAGACCCGCGCCTGACTTTGGCCTTTGGTCTTTGGCCGAGCAGGCTCGATTGCCGGTTCTGCACATCGGCGCTCATGGTACTGGTTTGGTCATAGACTGCTGCCCTCAACTGTCCGGCGGCAAAAGAGCATCCTGGTCTTTGATGAAGAGCAAGCTGATATCTTGAGCTGGTTGCCCGAGGCGTTGGACTTTATCGAATCGGCACGAAGCGAGGATGGCATCGTCTATGTGCATTGGTAAGAGAACAACCTGATCCTTTGCGCTGTGCTCATTGTCAGCGAGTGTCTCTCTGATTGGTGGATCTCACTCCAAGGAATCTTCTTGATTTTTTTCGCTTAGTCAAGCAGGCGTTTCGCGCTCTGCTACAGTGGTGATGGCCTATCTGATGCGCAACCTTGGGCTCAATTGCTCAAAGGCATTTCGCATGTTGAAGGCGGCGCATCGCCCTGCCCTCCCGAATCCTGGCTTTCAGCAGCAGCTCCGACTGTACGTGGGCCTGGCATCAGCCCACGTGGAGTCACAAGTGCTCACAGCGTCCTCCTTGCTAGGTTTGAAAAGATGAAATGCACGCTCGATGACAGCAATCCGGACTATCGGCTCTACCGTCTTGAACACCTTACCGAGTCGCAATATCGTTGGTCTTGGCCACTCTCTTTCTCTCCGACATCGCCTATGCTTTTGAATGTCTTCCTCGCTAACCTTTTGCTCGGTGCGTGTCTTGGGTTTAATAATGTGACCTCGACAGAGCAAGGCTGCGTAGAAGCTGCCGCCCTGGCGCCGGACCCCATGATTCAGGCACCCGCAGCGCCCAAGGCGGTTGTGCGGTGTGGACGCTGTCGGTGAGTACATGTTGGTGCCACAAGCCTTTGCGCCCGTGGTGACCCCTCAAATTCAGCCGTTTCCTTGAAAAAAAAAAATGTCCAATAGACGGGTGGTTGCAACCGATGCCAACATGTTGAACCACCAGCCCGGTTCGGGACAAATCTCCTTCCAATGGCGCCGGCGTGATAGGTATGGCTTTCTTTGTGTATGAACTCTGCTTTTGCCCTAGCATCGCCGTCTCATGTGGGTTTGGGTCGGCTTTTCTGCCTTTTCTCCTTTTTCTCCTTTTTCTTTTTTTTTTTCTGCGAGGATTTAGGATGACAGCCATAGATACATGCACTTCATGGCTGATTGAACCTATGCAATGGATGGCTGAGGTCGTCAATGGCGAGCTTCAGGGCAAGGTAACACTTGTTGCAGGCGGGCACTATGTGTTGCATGGCGCGGAGACGTGGTCCATGTTCTACAAGCTCTTAATTGGTGAACTGCCCATAAACAGGTTGTCTGTCCCAAATGCAGTCATCGCCTGGGATCCTTCAACTGGGCCGGCGCGCAATGTTCTTGTGGAGCCTGGCTTACCCCTGCCTTTCGAATCAACAAGAGCAAAGTGGATTATATTACCCGTCAGCCACCAGCGACTCTCCGTGGCGACTCTGCTGGCAATGACGCGCCCGAGGCCGACGAAGAGGAGGCCACAACATCAGAAAACGAGGGAAGCGAAAGCGATCCCTTCGAACTTGACGAAGCAGAAAGGGAGAATGATGAGTAGTATGAGTAGTGTGTGTGCGTGTGCGCGCGCGTGCACTTGCGCGTGCGTGTTTAGAGAATCGGGCATTGTTCACTTTGCTCATTGGGCTTTACATGTCTGATGATGACTACTACAATCACAAGGTCGACTAGTACCGGGATTTATCCCAAGTTTGGAAGATAACTCGTTCGATTGTCTGCAGACAGCTCTGGGCGAGCAAATTCACTTGGCAAAATGCGCCGCAGGCGACAGGGCACTGCCCTCTTGACCAAGTCACGACCACAACACAACAGACGATATCACCGAAATGATTATTGTAAGTACTCACAAGACTGGTATGTCAAGGCGCCACGCATAGCGCGTCCAAACACAAACAAAACATACCCACCCACCCACACATACACACGTACAATGAAAAAGCAGAAGAACAGCAAAACTTGTCAATCATGAAAATCGCACCAACGAATGCGCGCACAGGCTCGCACGCATGCGCTTTCGACATCGAGGGTCGGGGACAAAAGCGAACGAAATCTTAGATCAAAAGCAGCGCCGCGAACCTGGCAGTCACCTAGACCATGCTGTCTTCCGCTTCTTCACTGTTCGCTTGCTCAAGCATCAGAGTTGGCGTCCCGTTTCGGTTCCGCAAGACGGGCGAGCCCGGCGCTGTACCGCTGCGCTGATCAGTTACTACTTCGGAGCTTGGGCCACGGCTCAAACTGAGCGAGTCCAGCGACAACACACGCGCCCGCTGGCTCATGCTGATGCCGCCAAGATCCACGGGTGAGCGAATGCGCGGCCGCAGCACTTCTTTGGGCTGAAGCTTGTCTTCAAGCTGATGCTCTTTGGTGATGGCCATGGTCGATGCCACGACAATGTTAGCAATGAGAGCAAAGCGGCGATGCAGTTCCTCGGCCTCAACAGTCTGCTCGAGGGTGGCGGCATGGGAGAGGGCCGGGAAAGCGTGGCGCAGAACAGGCACATCGCCCGTCGCTGGCGCCACCACTTGCTTGAGCAACTCGTGCAAAAGGACATGGCAGCTTCCTATCACCGCCGGGTCTTGTGCTTGCGTCACAGCCGCGTCCAAGAGAGGAAAGAGGTCCCCGTGAATTGATGTAAAGATTTCGGGTTGGAGTCGGATGGCCTGGGAAAGAAACTTGAACAGCAATCGCCGCTGCTGCAGCTCCTGACATTGCTTGAGTCGTGCAATGGTGAGGGTCACCATGTTAATCATGTCCTCCTGCGTGGCGTCTTCCACCTGCAGGAGCGCGCGATAACAAAGGTCGTCCTCGTTTCCAGACAGATGCACGACAAAGTCGTGCACCTCGTCAGCAATGGGCCACAGCACCGTCAAATACCCCAGCATGGAGCGGCGCACCTTGAAACTCGTCAGCGACAGCCGGGTGCTATTGCGGGCTTGCATACCTCGCTCAATGTTGAGTAGCTGCGAGAGAAGACGGATGGTTCGCGTGACGGTGCCCGGTTGCGAGTGTTGCAGGCCCCGCACCAGCGAGCCGGCCATGGCAAAATCAAAGCTATCCGCAAAGCTCATGCCAATTGAGGCATCGAGCTCGCCAAACTGCTGCTGGCAGCGTGCGCGCGAGGGCTCCAGCACGTGAATCAAGGAATGTCCATCGACCACGCGATGATCCTCAAAGGCGGTCAAGACGGTCTCGATCACGGCCAAGGCAGAGGTGAAGAGGGCCGCTGAACCCAGGTGCAGGATGGTCACGGCCGTCCAAAAGGAGAGTGCGTGAAACTCCAAGCCCGACTCGCGAGGGACAACAACGGCCAAGAGGCGCGCTAGTGCCATCATGATGCTGTCCACGAGGTCGACGTCCTGGCGCTTTAACGCTGTGGCCAGGTTGTCCAGAATTTTCGCCAAGGTGGCGTGCGGCATGTGACGCGAGGTGGTGCCCATGGTGACAAAAGCCCGGGGTTGCAGGGCCGGGTTGGCGCGAAAGGCCGCTGCCTGGGTCAGCGCATGCCATTCGGAGCGCCAGCGCGCGTTGGCCGGCTCCACATCTTCCAGCGTCTCCCACAGATTGTTGACGAGGTGTTGGAGGGCATCCAGCTTGAGCGGAATCAAATCGCGCACCGAATCATCCAGGAGGGACTTTTGCTTGCGGAGAGACCCCGGCCCGCTGCGCCCCCGAGTGAGAAAGACAGCCTCGGAAGAGTCGCGGGTTCCACTGATGCCAAACTGCAAGTAGGTACGTGGAATAGTCAACTCTTGTAGGCGCACGCGCATGCGCCGTAGCTGTTCGGCGTCCAGCGTGAGCGTTGTGCACAGAGATTGCAGGATATTGATGGTAATGGCGTGAATCGCGGCCCGCACCTGCAGGCCGCCGCTAGCCATGAGCATGGTTATAATGTGCAAAAGCGCTGGCAGGTTGTTCTCCACATGCAGGCGGTCGTTGAAGCTGAGCGTGAGGAGGAAGCGAGTCAGGACCGCAAGGTATGGCCAGCTTGGGTGCTGCGGCAAGCTTTCCTTGGCGCCCTGTGACGTCTGCCGCAGGCATTCAAGAACCTCATCAAGGATAATGCGCGCGACCAGCTCCTTATTAGCGGCCGCGAGCGTCACGGCACAGTCCGCCATGATTTCTGCCTCAGCAGAACCGGCACCGCATTCTCGCGCCGTGTTCAAAAACGCGCGCATGATGCCGGGTACCAGTGTGCTAATCTTGCCCATGGTGAACCAGACCTTGGCTTGGAGGGAAGTATACAACTCCGGTTGCGTAATGGTGACTTTGACAAGGCCCAAAATGAGGACATCGACATTGCCTTCGAGGTGCTGTACGTTGTGCAGCCAGGGCTGCATGTACTCCAAGCACAAGTGTTTCTGTTCCGAGGTGGAGGTGCTGAGGCCCGCGAGGCACTCGTCCAAAAACTCGCTTGTGAGCTTGGGCTCTTGGCCAGCCAGGCGCTCCGACACGCTGATGATAAAGCTAGAATTATTTTCGGGAATGGCCAGACCGAGCGCCTCGAGCAATTGATTGTTGATGTTAAAGTCAAAGGTTGTGGTAACCGCTGCCAAGAGATTATAGGCGGCCAATCGAAGCTTGGGTTGTGCTGAGCCCAGGTTGAGGAGGGCCATGTTGAGAAGCGTGCCGGGCACGGCAGACGGCCGCATGACCTTCCACTCTGAGCTGATTTCAGGCTTGGAGAGCTTGTGCCGGCGCAGCACCTCGGCCACGGCCTTACTCAAGCGCTCCATGACGGGGACGGCTGCCACAAGGCTGAGCACATCGGCACCACGAGCATATTCAATCGTCATGGGACCGTCGTCGGCTGCGGGAAGAACGAGCTCGCTAATATCCTCCGTCGCATGTACATCGGTCAGCTGTGCCATCTGGTGCAGAACCTTGACGCGCTCAGTGAATTGAATCTGCAGGCCAGTCTCACCGACCCGCACTTGCACGGGAGTGGCACGCTTGTTGGTGCCTAGCAGGCTGACGTTGGTGAAATGCTCGGGCGCATCCAGTAGTCGCAACGTCGAGGCTGGGAGCTGAAGCTTGGGAATCTGGGCTTGCAGCTCTGGCAGATTGACAAAGGCCACCTTCTTGTGAAACTTGGAACCGAGCACGTAGCGATTGAGCCGCTTGGCCAGTCCCAAGAAAGCACGCGGCGCATTGAGCACATACACGCGACGCAAGTTTTGAGTCAGCGACGGCGGAATGAGTCCTGCAAACTGCTCGAGGGCCGGTCCACTGGGCTCATTGGCACGGCTAAACTGCGTGAGGTCCACAACCAGCTCAAAAGGCCCGCTGATCACGGGCTTTAGGGTCAGCAGTGCGTGGTACATAATGTGCTCCGCATCCAGTTCCCCCGTCATATAGCGGCGCGCGATGTAATAGAACACGGGGCGGTGATCCTCCGTGGTCCCGCGCCGATAAAAGAGGTTGCGAGCCTCAATCTCGTCTGTCGGGGTGGCGAGGAACTTGTGACGCGCCAAAAAGTCCTCAAGTTTCTTATTTTCATCCACAGTCGCGCTATACGAATAGCGGCGATCGTTGCTCTTGGATTTTGGCGGGTCCCCAAGCTGTACTAGCAGCGTGTTAACTTGGTCGAGTACCGAGCCACTGCCACCACGCACGGCCGACTGCAGGCTCGCCGGGTCCCGGCCAAGGCGCTCCGAGTACGAGTGCAAGACGCGATGTAAGGCCAAGACGTCTGATTCCTTGAGAACCAGCGTGGGGTCCTCTGCAGCATCTTCATTGCTCACGGTGGCCTCGGATGCCGGAGTAGACAATGCGTGTACGCCCGGCAAGACCTCAAGTCCCGCTGACTGCAAGGCAGCTAGCTCGTCTGCCGCCACTTCATCTAGAGCGGAGAGTGCATTGAGATAGCGGTTCATGGGATCAAACTCCCCGTTGACAAAGGGGTTGAGGCCTTGCATGTGCGGCTCTTTGACGCTGGCAAACTGCAAGCCGTTGGCAATGTTCTGCAGCACCTTTGATGCAAACAAAAGTGCGCGCAGCACGTTGAGCGGCAACCGCGTGCTGTCGGGCAGCAGCCCCTGTTGCACAGGGCTCACAATCGCAGGTGAAATGTAGCGCAAAAAGACGATTGCTCCCACGGCGCCGAGCTCAGCTTCAGGAAATTGGCTGGCCACGGCAGCGCGCACTACCATCAGGATGCCACGGAGCGAGGTCGGCATATCTTCAATGCTATCACGTAGGCGAGTAAGGATAGCAGTGCAGAGGTCTTCGACGTTGTGGCGGCTTTGATTCAGCTCCTCGGGCGTTTGCTGTGGAGTACGGTTGGGGTCAAGCTCGTAGCAGCGTTCATCCGCAATGAGGTCCTGCAGCACGGGCCCCAGTGTGTTGTATAGGTATCCGTTGTCCAGCACTCGAAACGCGTGAGCCACCACTTTGGTGGCTAAGCTATTTCGGCGAAGAAGGGTGCCTGCGTTCTGCGAGCGGGTCACTTCCTGGCGCACCAAGCCCCCACATAGCATCAGCAGGCTGCGCCGGCTCTGAAAAACAGCCACCAAGAGGGCAGCGAGATCATCCAGCTCGTCCGTATCCACAACAGATGCCAGGGCAATGGGAATGGCCAGGCTGGGGTCCAGGCATAGATCAACCAGCTTGCCGTAACGATCGCTCAGAACGCTCTCTGCCAAAGTGTCGAATTCAGCCCCCGATTGAAGAACGCGATTGAGCACTTCCGTAAAGGCCAGGCGCACCCCTGGATCAAAATGATAGCCCATGCCGATGGCATGGCCCAGGCCAACTTCGACGTTGGCTGCCAAGAGATGGGACATGGCCGATGTGGTCTGCTCGCGGAGCCCATCAAAGGAACGCAAGACACGCTCCTGCTGGAAGAGGGAGCTATTCGCCACCGGATCCAGGCGATTGACAGCACTGCCTCCCGTCAAGCCGCCGATCAAGCCATTGGAGCCGGCGGGGGCGGCGGGAACGGCTCCTGCGGCGCTACTGCCCCCAACAACGGCACTACCAGCGGCGGTGCCGCTGATGCCGGTGGAACTCGTGGTCGGGCCTGCGGCGGCCGTGTGATTGGGGCCCGCTGCGTCGGCGTGGGCCACCTTGCTAGACCAGCGCTTGCTTGTCTCCCGGCGGCTGAGGGAGGCAGGACCAGGTCCATGCTCAGCGACCGAAGGCAACCGCGTGCGGCCGGGTCGCTCGGATCCCTCAGACTCCAAGCCTACGGCCGAAGAGAAGCGGCGGTGCAGGCTCTCCTTGGGTTGCTGAGTGGCGCGATAAACCTTGTGGTGACCACTCTTGGAAAGGGAGCTGTTAATGTCCATGGTCTCAGGCGAGACCTCAGGATGCAGCACACGATTGCAACGGTTCGTCAAATTCATGAGAAACGTGAAGTACTTGAGGAAGAGGCGGCTTTTGGCGGCGACTCGATCTTTGGGTGCGTCTTCCACGGGCTGCAGAGGGAGGCCCAGGAGTAGGTCGCTCATGGCGCTAACGCAGCTGACATCCAGCTCGACCGAGGCAATCTCGCTGCCCGTGGGCCGCGTCGTCTCCGCAGTGGACACAAACGCTAGCAGTTTGTCCATGGTGCGATTGCGAAATTTGATCTCGTGTCGAAAGCTGATGGTGTCACGCAGAGCCATGACTCGCGACACCAGCTTGCAAAACCACGTCTTGACCTTGATGGCGTCCTGGTTGTCGGTGGAAAGGCGGAGATGGTCCATGAAAACGTCCATCAGGGGCTCAACCTCGGCCAGGGCCAAGTACTGCAGGTGCTTGGACGTGTCCATGTCGAGAAGCTTGCGAACGGTAGGAATGACCTGTTCCAGGTACGCCAGACCCTGGCTGCTGATGCGATTCTCACGTTGATCCGCCTCAAAAACATCCTGGCACGTGTGGTGAATGTAGTCGAGCAGGCCCGGGACAAGGACGGCGTGCAGCTCCGAGCTGAGAGCCTCCTTCACTGTCTCGCGCACGGTGAGGCCCAAGCCAGTGGGTTCAATTTTGATGAGCTCGAGCATGCTTGGAACAAATTGGCGCAGGTGTAGCAGCGCCGTTGTCGTGCCGCTGAGGTCAGCCTCATCCTTGATGCGCAGGGACAGGACAGAGCCGCGCGTGGTTAGAGTGCATACTCCACCGAGGCTGCATAGGAAGAAGCATTTGCTGGCAAAGTCTGGGGGAACCGAGCCAAGACCAGATTCACTCGTCATGCGCGAACCCAAGTGTGAAAGGGAAGAGTTGTTGTCACGGGCAGTTTCTTCGGCATGACGCTCTCGTATTTCCTTCACGCGACCCTGCCATAACGAGAAGGCGGTTTCCCATGCCTGTATCGTTCCCTCAGAGGGCTGATAAATTTGCCGCAGCTCACGTGTGATGGTCTTTTGCACTGCCTTGAGGCTTCCAGAGGTGAGGACCTGTCGAGCCGAGACGACGACCTGTTTAAATACAAGGTGTTCGGCTCCGAGATTGATCGGGGTGGTTGGTTGCTCTCCTTCAGATGCGCTGCGAGCATGAGACTGAAGCAGGTCGGCCTCCTGGCAGAGCATGTCAAGAAGGTCAACCCCGAGCTCCAGCTGTTTGCTACTGGCGCTGCACATGGACAGCAGGGCGACCACTTGTAGCTTCATGCGGGCCATGTACCAGCTGTCGTAATAAGTTTGTTGGTCCAAGTACGCGCGGCGCTGCGCCACGTAGGCTACGCGCGCTCGCATCAGATCGCGCAAGACAGCCAGTATGTTCGTATCAAAATCGCGTTTGTAGCCAAAGAGGGGCATGGCAAGAGAAATGAGGACTGAACTGCCCGACTCCCAAAACCTAAGCACAACACATGTGCGGCAATGCCAAAGCCGGGTTGGGAGCGTGAACAAATGCACAGCGTTGAGTATGGAAAACACAAAAAATTACAAGCAAAACCGATAAGAACACGAGACGAGAAGGACGCACCCGCGCATATGGTCCGTGGCATCCCAGCGATCAATCTGCTCGGGTTTGTGCAGCTGAATCAGAGTTTTGGCAGCCAACGAAGCAAGCTAAGCCGTTCGCGGCGGGAATGGGTTGTTTCCAAAGCGAGCATGGCGTGAGACGGTATGTTCGTGCCCAAGCACCATGCTTAGGTTCTTTTCGACTGGCCTTGCTGTTGCTGTTTCACTCTTTCTCGCGCGCGTCTTTCGCTCAAAGCCACGGGCAACGACATACCGGACTCAAGTTCACTTGCTGAAGACAGGAGCAGAGACCATTCATCAGCTGAGTGGTCTCTTGCAGCTGCTTCAAATCATTGGAGTCGGAGGGCTCGGGTACTATACTCGTGCTACCATATGAAGGAACCGGGTCAAGAACGCGACGCGTGAGAAAAAGGTGCTCGTTCGGCATGCAGCACGTCATGCAGCGCAAAGTCCATATGGCGTTCCACACCTCGTATGAGCTCGGTCTCGAGCTTCATTGTAAGTAGCAAACTTGGGTTCATTGTAAAGTACGTTGAGAATGTGCTCAAGAAGTTCAAGTTCACTTTGATGCTCTGCAATGGCCCTGCGTTTTTGCAGTCCGTGCAAGAATTTGAGGTCGCATGTGAGCGATGCGTGAAAACCATACACTATTGTATGGGTCAAGAGGGAAAGGGAGGACAGCGGCCCGTACTTCATGTCCTTTTTGCTCAAGCGACCGGCCTCGCCGTGCCGAGTGCCAGAGTTGGATGCAACTTGGCGCACTTTTTGCTGAAAAAGATTGCGAAGGGCAGAGCTCAAGTGCGACAAGCAGTAGTCAATCGTCGCATCGGGGCGATGCGCTAGTCACGCGAAACCAATCAGGCAGGTTGGATGTCAGTTGATCGCAAGTGAGCCGCAGTTGTTTGAGTGGCTCGCATCTGTCCTTGGGGGGCGAAACAGCAGCGCCACTCACTGGTGTTGGATTGATTGAGATTGAGCACGCAACGAATGGCGATGCAGCGGAATTGCGTTGGCGTGTCTGAAAGGGTTGCAAGAAACAAAAACAAAAAAAGCCAATACCGTTGGGGTGACATCAGCCTTGCGTCCAACGGCACGAGAAATCGTATGGGATACCTCACGCAAACATGAGCCAAGGGCATGAAGGGGGAAGGGGACGGACCGTCTTTGGATATGAAAGGAAAGAGGTAATCGTTCACCGTGCTGCGGTGGTTGAGCTTGTAAAACGCTGTCAGGCATGTCACAAGCAGATCCTCCTCTGGTCGTTGGATTTTCTCAAAGAACGGTTGCGAAGGGTCGAAGAGCTTGCCCTACAGCGTGGTTATGTAGCGCGACGTCGAGCGTGAGCAGTCGGCCTAGTGCGTGACCCTGGCCCTGTAAACCAGTGGTTTTGAACCCTGCCATACCTTGAGGTCGTTCTCAATGGGTGGTACCATGTGTCGCAGACAGGAGGTCTTTGAACTCTTCTCCACAAAGGTGGCTGCAATGCACAGCGTTGCATAGACCTTGACGGCCGTTTCTGACAGCGGCGGTTTGGCTTTGGTAAAAGCCTGGGGGTTGGTTTGAATCAATGAGTTGGCAGCAGCACTGGGAGCCAAGACACAACGGGGGATTGCAAAGCACGGGCTCGGGTCCGCTGGAGCATAACACTATGGGTCGTGCAGACTTACGGCGCGTAGACCATCCAAATAGCGACGCTTGGTCTTGTTCGGGTCTGTGTTTTGCGTTTGATCTTCCGTGTAAATGTTGAGGAGGATGTTGGGCGAGAGGAGCAGAAGACTGTGCAAAGGGACGCCAAGCGCCAGGATGAGCATGGGGAAACAATGGCACTTGGGCAGACTCTGCGCTCTCAACGCACCGAATCATCACGGGCCAGCACGCAGCCTTGCGATTGATGGTTTTCTCGGCAATTGCATAGTAGGCTTCAAAGAGGTGATCACACTCTTGACAAAGTGGTGCATCGCCCTGACGCAGGCACACATTGTGAACTTGACACAACATGTGTGGGAGCATGAAGGGTGGGCTGACCAGTCTGGGCAGCCGTACCTGTTGTAGGGTAATGAATTCATCTGGATAGACATCCATCCATTTGTCAATGGCCACACAGAGACCAGAGGCAACGCCCAGTTGCACGTTCTTTCTGACAGTCCCAACCACCAAGTGGAGCTCACGCAGAAGTTGAGTGAGTCGGGTGGTGGTGAAATGGACGTAGGGGATCAAGTTGAGGTAGCCAAGGTCTAAACCGCATCCGTCGGGTCAGAAGAGGGTGGCATAAATGAGTTGGTTGAGGCACAGGGCAGGGTGGCTTTGGAGAAGCGAGCAGGTCAAATGCGCTTCGAACCAGGGCTGTCGTCCTGACTGGACGTTAGCGTGGTTAAGCGCTCCTTGAACTCGCGTTGAACCATGTCAAAGTTGCGTGCGGTCAAGGCGTACACAAGTCTAAGCACCACGGTCAGGGGGGTGGGTCACACACGTTGTAAGCGTTGGTATCAAGCTTGCCATGCCTGGTGCAGGTGAGAGCGGGAGTTGAAAGAAACACACGACGTCAACATACTGTGAAGCCTGGCACGGGATGGAGGAAGGTGTGGCCAGGTCTTCAGGAGTAGCATGAGCCAAAATCTGCGAGCGTGCGCGCGTGATCAAGGTAGTCATGAGATCGGGCGGATTGTAAGGGATCTCACTGATGCATGCGTCGAGATGCACAGCTTACTCGGGAGTAGAGCAGGTCCAAGAGCTGGCGTAGCACTGTGGGGTCCACCAAGTCAGCCTCCTTGCCCTTGCTTGCAAACTGATGGGCGAGAGCGGCGGCCATCGTTTGTAGAAGGATGGTCACCGAGTATTGAATGTCGGCCTCCGTGGATCGGTCATCTGCAGACTGTCGTGGGTGGGACATGGCATTTGGGGCCGTCCAGGTTGGGGGATGAGTGGTGGCACATTGCGCGAGCACGGACCAAGGAGGATGGGCAGGGGTGAGCCGAAGAGCTCTCGCGTGAATGCTCCTTACTTTGGTAAGGCATTGTTGCAGGAATTTGAAGAGGGGTTGAATCACGGGGTTGATGGCATCAACGCTGAGGTCAATCAGACAGGCGCGGTTCCGCTCTGCAAGCTCTGGTTCAACGACAAAGGCGGTGCTTTTGCGCAGGCAGGGTAGCTGGGCAAGGAGTTGCATATCACAGGCCAGGCCGAGCAGCAAGCAAAGTCCAAGCAAAGTCAGTTCAAAGCAGCAAGCAGGGCGCCAGGGCATCTCTCCGTATTGCGTGCGGTGCACAAGATCAAGTCTCGATTTGGAACATGGAACGTCGCCTGGTCACTGACCGAGCCAGCCACAGCTTGGATGAGCGGGTCCAAGAGGTCTCTGCTGCGCTTGTCTTGCAAGACCTGGGCATGAAATGACGCCATGCTGACGCTGAACTAAGGATGGCCACTAAAGGGACGGGATGGAGGAGAGATGTACAAATATACTGCAGTGAGACGACACGATAGGTGCCAGCGCGTTTGGTTCTCAACAGCCTTGATGGCGGGGGAGGATCGCAGAGCAGCGTACGGAGAGAACAGGCCGGCGCCAGCTGGTGCAGCAAGTGTGGACGCACGTACGAGGGGCCCTCGAAGGCGGCGTTTGTGAGTGTTAGCAGGGAGGGAGGTATCCTCCTCTCCTCCCAGCTATCATGCACCCAGCCGATGTAGCCTGTGCCAGATTGGACGCGATTGTGTGTCTCTGACAGGAGCGTTGCACCTTGTGCGCCTAATCGAATCAGAGCCAGGTCAGATCAGCATGTGGTGCGCGTGATCAATGTGTCGATAAAAAAAAAAGACGAAGAACACGGCGGCTTCAACTCGCACTCTGGCGTAACACTGCTACAGCGCGCCGAGAGAGAGAGAGAGAGAGAGAGAGAGAGAGAGAGAGAGAGAGAGAGAGAGAGAGAGAGTTTGAGAGAGAGAGTTTGAGAGAGAGACAGAGAGAGAGAGAAAGAGAGTTTGAGAGAGAGAGTTTGAGAGAGAGACAGAGAGAGAGAGAGAAAGAGAGAGAGAGAGAGAGAGTTTGAGAGAGAGAGAGAGAGAGTTTGAGAGAGAGAGAGAGTTTGAGAGAGAGAGAGAGAGTTTGAGAGAGAGACAGAGAGAGAGAGAAAGAGAGAGAGACAGAGAGAGACAGAGAGCGTACACAGTATAAAGTGCCACGTTCATCACAGTTTGACAACATCAGCACAAGCTCAATGATCCTTTTAAATTACACATACCCCCGGAATTTTAAAAGTTGCCTTTGTATAAAGATAAAGGGGTATTTTAAACATACAAGGACCGTGGCAGGATGACACTGGAGCCGCGGACCATCGCCGGCGGTTTGAACGAGGCCAATGGCGCAGCCGTGGCCTGGCATTACTATGCGCTTGCCTTTGGTATCAAGTCTCGTGTGCAGGTGGTGGATCCTGCAGCCTTGGAGGTGCGACTCCCCCGCGCCTCTCCCCCCTTTTCTTGTGATGCATCTTGAAGAAGCTCAACAACGTCCCCCGAAAACCCTGTCCGCAGCTCCTCCAAACGATTGCCACGCCGCAAAGTGATGCAGACGTGACCGCGGTATCGATTCGCCTTGATCTTTGTTCCAGTGGCACCATCTCTGCTGATCGACTTCCTTCTCACTGGTTTGCATGGATCTGGCGTCTCCTTCATAGTTGGCCTTTGATCCTCGCCAACTTGGCGAGCGCAAATTCGATCCAACCAGCCTGCTTCTTGCAGCTGGCAATTCCTTGGGTCAGCCTCGCCGAGTTTCTGAAAAGCGCCTGGCATCCTTTCCAGCCAAATCGCCATGATTCCTCTGACCCTGACGCTTTTGCTGCTTTGCTGTTCCACCGTGTCCAGGGACCATCTCCATCCACCGCTTGAGCAACGGGGAAACCAAGGCCGTGCTACCCCCGCCCTCAGAGGCGCTGCGGGCCGCACGCAGCCCCCCTGCCGTCAAAGCCCTCTGCTGGCAGCACACGGTATGCTTCACATTTCGAGGACTCTGATTCTCAACGCTTGCTCACAGGCGTCTCAAACGTCACGGTCCAATCATATTTTGCCCTTGACCGATGCTCAGGCCACAGACCCCCTCGGCTTGCTGGTGGCACTCTACAATTCCGGCCTGATCATCACTTGGAATGTGCTCAAGTGCGAGGCAGTCTGGGCGCTGGTACGTCGAGCCTGCTCCCCACGCAGCACCCACTCTTTCTTTCTCTCTTCCTCGCCTGACCTCTGCGCCACCACTTGCCCTGCTGAGTATCACCTCTGTTTTGGATGCTTTATTTACGTTTTGTGATTTTTCCATTTTGTCCACTCGTCTCATCCCGCCCATCCGCACATGTACAGGAAGGCCCACCCGAAGCCCAATCTTTGACGTTTGATCCATTTCGTCCAAGGCGCTTTGCCACTTGCTCCCGAGGCGGCATCATTCATATCTACGAGCAAAGCTCCCCGGGCAGCCAACCCACGCAGACGCGCACCTTTCAGTTGGCCCAAGGTACAGCGACCATCCTCATCCTCCAACCTTCGATTTCGCCAGCAAGCTTGGCCTTGTTGTCTGTTCCAGCTCTTGGTGGATCTTCACAATCCCTCCCTTTCTAGATGAAGCCATTGGTATCACCTTTTCCAAACACACAGAACACCAACTGGTCATTGTGACAAAACGGAAGCTCGTTTTCTATGACCTAAAGGCTGAGCAGGTGCGTCATTGCCAGGCAATCGGCGCAATCTCACCACTCAAGAGCAAAGCATTCGCCCGCTTGCCCTGCGAATATCTTCCTCGTGGCTAGTCTCATTGCCACGACCTCTTGAAACATGGATTAGCCCATATCCGAGACACCCCTGGAGGTTGGCGGCAGCCCTTTTGTCTCAGGTACAATCGGCCCTATCGCTCGTCATTCGCGACTCAGATCCTGGGTGATATTTGGCTGCACAGACGGTGTTGAAGGCCCAGCTTCAAGGATTTTTGATCCTCATTTCCACTTCCTCCTTTTTGAATAGTCATCACGTGCAGAGATGCCCCCGCCATCTATTGCTTGCACGAGAACTCGTGTGTGAGCCTTCGCTGTCGGCCCAAGTTTGGCCGTCTCTACTCTTACGAGTATCGCGGTTGGTGTCTCACGTATGCCACTCCCTTGGAGCGTCACGCACTACTATCTTGGCTCTTAAACCTTACGACTTGCACCACGACACTACAGGCCAATCGCGCGCCATCCGCACGCGCTCAGCCCGCGTGATGCATATTGTCAAGTCTCCGCGAGAGGACACAATGGTGGCCTGCATTTGTCTGGACGGCCGCGTCCTTAAGTTGCAGGTACGTCCAACGCCACTGCACCAGAGCGCAGCACGAGTCATAGTCTAGAAGCGATCCCGACAGTGCCTCATCGTGCAGCATCGGCGTGATTTTCTTGGGATCTGCAGGCAGCACAAATGCCGTCACATGCCCACGCGTTGCTGGGCATGGGCGCCCCAGTAGAAGCTCATCGCTGCCTCAACGTGCGTACCTAGCCTAAACAGAGGCTCGACCCAGTCGCAGTCCTTGCCATGCTTCTCGGCTCATCTCAGCGCTCGCATCGGTGCTCACGTAGATTAAGGGCGCCTTGCGTCAAACCGGTCTGATGCATACCCTCATGGTGCCTGTGTGTGCCAGTGGAGTCCATGTGGTTCGTCGGTTGCTGCCACACAGTCTTGAGTGCAAACGCATCAGTGTTCCCCATGCGCCGGAACAGCTACACGCAAATCCCACTGACTCATCATGACCCGGTCCTGGACTGCACAGAACGCAGATGGCCAACCACTGATGGCCGTGGGTGGCCGGCAAGGACGCATCCAGGTAAAATCTGCAGCGTTACGAATACGGAGCGTGCTTATGACCAATCTCTGAGCGGGATTGACGACGATTGTGATTTTCACGTTTCTTTTTGGCGATAGATCTTCAACCTGGCGACAGGCCAGCTGACACGACAATTTGTTGTCAACGAGAACACGCTTGTGGATGTGGCCTGGACCAGTGGTGGTGCCCTGGTGGCGTTGGCCGGGTCAGTCGCGTGCCATATGCGTGGTATCAGGTCTGACTCTACGCACAGCCTGACAAGGGGGAAGTGAATGGGAGCAAACAAATGTCGATCCTGTCCCTGGCATGCCATCCATTTTTGAGAGGCCATTTATCCTTTGGATGCTGCCAGTGCTAACCCAAACGGGCGCTTCGACTGATCGCCCCATGCCGGCATGGGGCCACGGTGCAATTGCAGGAGTGAGGCTGGACCGTCGCTCTCGCGCAATGTTCTCCTGCATGTCGATGCGTGCACCGGACGCAGCACAAAGCTCCGTGACCGGCAAGACCCCAGCAAGGTACATGGTGTGGCGTGGCTGAGTCAACCAAGCAGTGTACGGGCCATTGCCCTCATAACATTCACATTTTTTTTTCTCTTAATCTCCAATTAATAGGCTAAGCGATTGCACGTTTCGCCGCTGGGCCAGTATGTGCTCCTACTTTTCCAGGACCAGCCCCCAGAGCTGTGGAGCGCCACGCGCCGTTGCTTGCTCAGCCATTTTGGAAAAAATTTCCCGCTGTGCGCTGACCTGGCTTGGATCCATTATGGCAATGGCATGGCGGCAGCACAACACCAGTCCAACTCAGATAGTGTGCAGAGTATGTCTTAGCGTTCCCACGGCCGAATGTTGGCGAGGCCTTGAGTTCTCACGCTGCGCCTACATTTCAACTTGTGCAGCTCGCCTCCTTGAAATCATTGACCAAGAGGTTACCCGCGATGATGACCTTGACCCGGCCAGTTTGGGCGACGTGTTTGAAGATGAGCCCAAGAAGCCCGACCAACTTGTCATGCGCGAGGAGTTTATGGCCGTGGAATACGACGCGCAGCTCCATGGATACCGGATTGAGGGCAGGTGCGATGGAGTTGCGCCGGGAGCTTTCTTGCGCTCGTGGCCTCATTTGCCTTGCCGAGTGATGCGACATGAAAGCCAACTGTGAAGTTGCCATTGCGCAGTTGATCTCAGTGACCTTCTCGTTGCTTTTTAGTTTGATGCAAAAAAAACAGGTCTCTGTTGAAGCTGTGGCAAGCACCGTGTGCACGGCAGCTGCTTGGACTCAACGTTTTGGTGTCGTCGGCGATGCCAATGGACACCTTCTTGTTTTCGAAAACTACGTACGCATCCTTGCCGCTATCGTCTTCATCGCCCCAACCAATCGTGTTTGACTCCGATGGCATGACACTTTTGGACTAGGCTGCGATGCGCTTTTGCTCAACTCCTCGTATGCCTCTTTCAGCTGGTGACCCAGCATGTTTCGACCGACTTTGCCGAAGTCAAGCAAATTGCTCTCATGCATGGCACCACTCTGGCGCTCGTTCGCTTTTCCAACGGTAAGCTTCGCGGTGCGGACAGCTTTGACACAATGTTGTTCCGGTGCTTCTGAATATTTCTTGGCACGCAGGCGTAGCTACGTTTGATGTGGTGAAGGGCCAAGTCCTGTCTGCACTTCCCCTGGGCAAAAAAGGACCTCAGGTTGGGTTTCTCTCCCAAAAACTATTCTCCTCATAAACAGCGCTTGCAGATCATTGACTCCACTGATATCGCTTGTTGATCACTGAATGCGGCCCTTTAGGCCATGCACGTGTGCTGGGCTCGTGCAGATCGTCCTGTGGTCGTGTTTGACGACTGTCGGCTCTGTGTGTTTGATGTCAAGTTCAAGGTATGTGCGTGTAAAAGTGTGCGTGTGTGTGTGTGTGTGTGTGTGTGTGTGTGGATATGGGGGGTATGGGGGTCTGGCTTTGATAGGGAGACGCCGACCCATGCCGCCTGCCAAATCAGTCATACTCTTTGCTTGCTGACCGAACAACATAACGCAATGTTTACTGTGCAGCGAGCGGAGAGTCACATCACTAGCTACGAGCGCGCAACGCCTTTCACATCACCTCTGGCCTACAGCGGGGCCATGGTGCGCAAAATCTACTCAGCCTATCTGAGCGGACAAGGTTTGTTGGCAGGGGTACTTAGCTTACTGGCCGGCCGGACACACATTTTCATTTGATCTTATACACCTTTGACTTGTGTTTTTGTTCGTAGTCCTGGATGCCATCGAGGCCGGCAGCCAGGTATGTATGGTTTCGTGGAAGCGCAGTGCAGTAGACTGTTCCTATGCGTTTCTGACCTTGTCACACCTCTTGTTGCCATCAGAGCGAGCATTTGATTGCCGCGCTCCCTTCACCAACAGTTCCAACTCAAGACAATAAGGTCTTGCAGGCCCTCAATTCGTTGGTCGTGGCCAGCACGGTGGGTTGCGCGTCTTTTGCGTTTGAAGTCACTGTTTGGCTCACCTTGCTTTGGCTTTGCTGTTCTCACCCTGCTCACTCTCGTTGTGTCCTGCCACTATCGTTGATCCAATTGCAGCTGATTGGCGATGAGTGGTGTGCCCAGTTGTGCCGTATTCTCTATCAACAGCTTGCCGAGCCAGCGTCTGCAGAAGCAAATGACGCTCGCTCGGCAGTTGACCAGAGCACGGCAGCAACGGCGTCTGTAGTGCCCGATTTACTGACAGACGACGGAGGCTCCGTCTTGGCACCAACAGAATCTCGTGGGTCCCCGGCCCCGGGTCCACCACTTGGCTTTTTGCAGAGCCCTTCAGTTTTGCGTCGAGACATGCAAGATAGCCTCAAGGTAGGGTGGCTAATATTGATTCTACGTCTCACAGGAATTCGCACAGGAGTGTTCACACCGTTGCTCTCGGCCACCCTCGCTCACTCACGTGCGTCTCGCTGCTGCGCATTCAGGCCCGCCGCCGAGTGCATGGTGTGACAGCCCTTCGCCGACCGCAATTTTCGGCCTTGGTAACCGAAAGCATCTTTGCTAGTAAGTTCCAACTCAAGTCGCAAGACAGGCGGGGCGGGCCGTTGAGCGCGACCTCTAACACCTCGCTGATGTCCTTTTCCTTTTTCCTACAGACCAAGCCGACAGGGCCATCCATTTGTTGCTGCAGAACTGGAATTCAGCACACGAGCACGACTACGTGGATATCCTTCGGGCTTGCTTCATTGCAAGCATCACGCAGCCTGATAGCTACCGCACCACAGTCAAGGTGTGACATGCCTTGTGCCACGTGGGACAGCTTGGGCTTTGAGCAGCGGATGATCCCAGCTTCATATACGTCACTTCTTCCTTGTAGATGGCGGCCATGAATCTGATCGCTAGCAATCGTCTGGATGAAGGCATTGAGCTCTTGGTTTTGACTGGCTTTTGCAAGGAGGCGTGCAGGTATGAAACACTCGAACTGCCCTGCCAATTACGAAGCAACCTGGCCTCTCTCTGTAAACTATCTGCCGTCTTGAATGCGGTTTGATGTGGTTCGCTGTTGCTGCCGTGTGGGGCAATAATCGAAAGCTACCTGCAAAGCTACGGTCGCTGGGAGGATGCCGTCATCCTCGCCAAACACACGCTCTCCGTGGCCGACCAACGACAGGTTATGTAAGTTTCGTGCACAACAGTCGGCCTACCAGCCCTCAGCATGTGGCTTCATAGCTTCCGCTCTTGTTGACATGGCTAGGAGCAAACACGCTAGCGAGCTGGTGAAGACGAGCTGGCAAGAGGCCGCTCTGCTTTATGCCAGTAGTGGGGATACAGCGGCGGTAGGTGCCTAAAACATCTCTTGGGATTGCCGAGCTCAACCTAGCTTCTTCGGCGGTCCACCTCTCGTGCTCACTCGACCCCGTGGTCAAACCGCCCCACAGGTGTTGAACGTACTGCCTTCAGCTGAGGATGCGCCGTACCGCCATGCTTTAAAAGAGGCCCTGGCCGCCAAAGTCCCTGCGACCGCTTCATAAACATTTTATGTCTTGTGTGAATAGTGTTGAACGTGTGCCCCGCGCGAATAAACAAACAACAGGTCAACAGAAACGCACGTTCGTTTGGTGCTCACCAAGAACGCAAAGCAAGGGGGTAAGGGTGTCACACTCAAGCTATGAATCAATTTTGGTCTATGCCAATGGTCGGTTGAGCCACGCTATAGCCGGCTTTCGTTCGGTATATTCGAGGTAGGCATAGGGGTCAAGCAGCGGCCAGGTATGGACAGCGAAAAGGCGACGCCCAGCCTGATCAAGCAAATGCTTCACCAAGGATAGGGTGTAGGAGACCGGTGAAGGGTACGGACAAAAGAAATGGTGGTCAGTCTCAGGGAGAGGGCGCTCTTGGACAAGATCTTTACTCATCATCCAAAGCAACGAGGTCTGATTCCATTGCGGGCGTAGCGCGGCGATAGATACTGGCGCGTATGCTAGCACGAAATGCCATGGGGTTGGCAATTTCTGGCGCTTGGACCAGAAGAGCCGCTTGGCCCTCGTGCTTTGTCTTGCCATACTGCGATTCCCCAACGGAGCACACAATTGTGCCCACTTTGCCGTTCTTGAGCCGATGCTCCATGACATCCGCATACTGCGCGAGGCCAAGGAAAGCAAGAGTGAGGATCTGACAAGCCTTCTGTGTGGTGTTGAGGGCGTTGCATTTGCGTCACGGGAGTTCCTCGCACCTGAACGTCATATGTCACACCCTTGGCTTTGGCAGCAAGAAAAAGAGTGGTTGCAAACTCGACGACATGCGGGGTGTCAAAAATAAAGTCACCACGATCCTTCTTGTCGTCGCTGGGCGTATGCAACACAATGACGCCGTCATAAAGCGTTGACACGCTCAGCTTGGACAAGCTAGTGAGCGGGATTCGCATCTTCAGCTTGAGCTTGGGGTGGCCATATACGTGCAACGCGTCGTTGGTAACAACAATGACATCACTGCGAACATGGCCATAGTTGGTGCGATCCATTTTGTGAACCACAGTCATGTACAAGACTTCGCGATCCTCCTCCTGTTGCGAGGTCTTGGCAAATGCCTACAAAACACACGTGCCATGAGCTGTGACCGCACACTGCGAAACACCAAAGAAACTGGCTTTGTCATTGTTTCTGCGGGCTGTGATGAAGCAGACAAGGATGCGTGCAGAGGTGCTGAAGAGCCAACCTCGGCAATGCGCTGAGCCTCATTATCCTCGACACGGTATTTGTCGAAGGGTACTGGGACCGAGGATTCATAAATGAGCTTGCGGCCCTTGAAGAGCTCGTGAGCGGCCAGTTTGGCGGTCAAAATGGCCTTGCGCTCAGGCGAGAGCTTCAAACGATACTTGAGCGCCAGGTTGCGTCGGCAAAGGTCGCGTAGCAAAGCATCCGTGTCCGCCACAACCGGAGGAATGGGGCGCACCCAGCGCTGACTGCGCAGCAGGCACAAAATTAAAATGAGGATGAATGCTGTGTAAGAAGCGAGGCGGTGCATGGCTAGAGGCAAACACTCACCCAACTTTCACGAGGCGATTGGGCACACTCTTCGCAAGGTTGATGAGGTATTCACGCTTCACGTGCGCAACAAAGCGCTCGTTGTGACCGTTTGGCGCTTGAGTTCGGGTCATAAAGCCAAAGATAAAGTCGCCTATAACGAGGGGCACATGAAAGCGTGCGTATATTTGTGTAAGCGCACGGGGGCAACAAACGTGCAGATGGCTTGACACATGGGAAAACACGTACGAATCGTTTGTCCTGCGCGGCGACGGCGAGAGACGGCACGCTTGGCCAATCCCACACGGGCGTGCTTCTGGCACACAATCGCAGCCTCGCGCATCGCTAGATATTTACGGCGTTGCACAAAACCGCGCCAGCGTGCCTGCAATGGAAGGTGGACAAGAAGCGCGTGAATATGGCCGCGTTGTTCCAGGTGCAGGAGGGGGGCCCATCAGCATCCTCAGCACTGACCTGAATGTGGGTTGCGAGCCGATGGCGGGCCAGGACGAGGCTATTTTCCAAAGCCAGCAAGGTCTTGGGTTGTTTGATAAAGATCTTGGTCTTGCCCACAGCTACCTCAGATTCATCCACTTTGAGAGTATCTACCGACCGGCAACAGGGCGTGAGATCGAGGCAGCGCAGCGACGACGCTTCGCTCGTCGAGAGAACACCCACACACACACACACACACGGTGACTAAAGAAACGCAGAAAGACGACAGAGGAAAGAGAGGGAGAGAGAGAAGATAAAAATAAAAATAAAATAAAAAATAAAAGAAAAAGAAAGAAAGAAAGCACATGTCCTTTGCCACATACGCACGGCAACCGACCAGCAATCAGCTTGGCCGCCTCGGAGAGCGGGCCAGGGTACGAGGGCCAGGTGGCCTTGCACACGCTCTTATAACGCTGATAAAACGCTTCAAAGGGACGTCGATAACAGTATCCAGCACGGGCAACGCGCAAGACCTCCATCAAACCAAGGTACTTGACCTACACAGGCCGATCAAGTGAGTTAACTTTTGAATGATACGCAGAGCCAAGACATGCGACGGGTCTCACCTGGTGTGTAACTAGCTCTTGGTCCCAAACGCCGGCGTGTTTTTGCTGGTTGGGCTTGATGCAGCGCACGTATGATGGCTGCTTCACCATGAGCGTTTCCATCAACTCCTTGATGCTGCGCCGAAATTGCGTGCTGGCAGTGGGAGGTCGCTTCTTTGAGTCAAGCTCAGACTCATCAAACCACTTGGCCATGACGGTGTCCTTGCTGTCGAGCATGACTCGCACCAAGTCGCTGCGAGGGCAGCGCAGGTGAATCCCGACCATCGCATTAGAAAATGAAATTCACGCTCATTGGCTGGTTAACTTTGACACTTCACATCACCACGCCGAGCTCAGCATTGCCAAAGGCGTGACCCACCGGAATAACAAGTCATTGTTCTTGCTCACAAAGCCTGCGACGTCATATGCCACGTCACCTGCATAATGTCTGTGTATATGCTGCAGTGAGCTACCCTCGTCAGCGCAACCAACAAACAGAGTGGGCTTTGAGGGCCATAAAAACTAACTTCAAGACAAACGAGTCACGCTGAAGCTTCTTGTTGTCGGCCCAGGAGCTGTAGAGGGCATTCTTGTTTTGTCCGAAGCGAGCATCCAGCGCCTTGAGGAAGACGTCATCTCCTTGTTCGCCTGGAATCATGGTGCACGGGTGGTGTGAGCACATTGTGCAAAATGTCATTGTAGATCGTAAAAACGCCCACTCCTGTGTTGAGAACGCTGGCAGGCGTGGCGCGGCCTCACCGGGACCAAGGCAAGTGTCATCCAACGCGGCAAAGATGCCGGATTTGGCATCCTCGATCAGGTCGCAAATGATCTACAGTCAGACAGTGCATAAATGAATCCGCACAGTCATTCGCTGGCACGTGTGATCAAGCCCACGGACCTTGTTGTCAAAGTACTCGACGCCAACCCAGGCAACACCTTCGCGCTCGTACTCTTCTTGCTCAGCCTAACGCAAGCGCAGCAGCGTTCCCCGGGCCGTGAGCCTAGGCCAGGGTCCGTGACAGCCAACAATTTTGGCAGCGCAGGGCCACGCAAGCGGACCTTGAGGGTAAGATTCACAAAAAGCTGTTGCAAGCGCTCATTCGCATAATTGATGCAAAGCTGTTCAAATCTGGGATGTTGTGATGGACGAGAGACAGGCAACCATGAGTACCAAGGCATGCTAACCAGAGCAGGGTCATTGCGAACGCGAGCGACAGGGACATCAGGGCGACAGGCAGAGGGGTGTGGCGCACCCGTTGGATTGCAAGACCTCAAATCCGTAAATGTCCAGGAGGCCCATGGTGGTGGAGCGACCCTCGGTGTACTCTGAGAAAACCAAGACAGTGGGAGCGTAAGGAATAACATGTCATGGCGTGGGTACGCACCGACGAATGACCGCCAGCCAAAAGAACAAAAAACAAAATGCAAACAAGAAAAGTAACGTATACAAACAGGCAAGCGAGAAGCAGCTACATGACGCAGATACTGCGATTAATTTGACTGCAGACGGGGGGGACGGGGGGCACACCTTGGCCAAAAGAGGCATTGAGGCGCTCGACAAGCCATGCAAACATGCGCTTGTAGATTGACTTGCTCAGACCATCACGTGTGGTCTCGGCTTCATCCTGCCGGAGAACGGTCATAGATCAGAATTTGGACTACAACAGAGGTTGGCCTTTGGCAGCATGGGCTCACGCCGTCCCCGACCTTGGAAAGATGCTTGACCAGAGATTCACCACGAGCCTCCACGGTTCGGCTCGTGAGGGCATGGGTCAAGCCCACAAGATCAACAGAAAAAGCGGCGGCCACCCTGCAGCAATTTGACAGCCACGAAACGAGAGCAAACACGTCCGTTAGCCAGATATTTGCGATGAAGAGCGCGCCAAGGATGGATGCTCGTCACGGGGCAGAATGGCTTGCGGTGAACGGTCTTCCCGTGAAAATGACCCACGCACATTTGCAAGACATCGGTATTGCTGACAGCGGCCATGTCACCTTGCTGCTGGAAGTCGACCTCTCCTAGCTGCAAGATGCCCGCACAGGCCCGGAAGAGGGCCAGGCGCTCCTGCTCCTCAATGCCACATTGCTTTAAAAAAAGAAAAAAAAGGGAAAATCAAATATGGGCACTGTTGATGAGCCGCTGATCCATTATCTCAGACCATGGCATTGGCACCAACACAGCAGGGCACCGACTTGGAAGGCTGACATGACGGTGAGAAACTCGGAATGGTCATCAAGCTCTTCAACCATGCCAACGCCGCCCTGAGATACACCGCCACGAAATGGGTGCTGGCGTGAGGCTCGATTGTCAACAACAGGCAAAGTTACAGCGTGCAGCTCGCGGCCACAAACCTGGGAAATGTAACGGTAGTCGAGCTTGTTGGCTTCGAGACCGAGGTCGCGGCAAAGTGCATCGTCGCCGGACAGGAGCAGCATGTAGAAGATGTGAAAGTTGCGCTCGCCCGTCAGCTGGGTAGTGACACGTGACTTCTCAAGCAGGTAGGTCATCATACGGCCGTTGACCACTTCACCCAAGAAGTCAAATTGGCACTCAAGATACTTGCCAAAGCTAGGCCAAGCAAACACGGAAAGGAGATGAGTTGCAGGAAACAGATTGGTGGCCATATTTAGACACGAGAGATGCCGGGCGAAGGTACCGAGATGAGTTGTCATTGCGAGTTGTCTTGGCGTTGCCAAAGGCTTCGAGAATGGGGTTGGACTGCAAGAGACGGTCACTAAGACATCAATAGCAAGAACTTAAAGGTGAGAAATTTCGTGCAACCAAGGAGGTGCGTGGCTGGAGGGTGATTGAGGGGTGTGAGCGCACCGGATCATGACGGCCTTGCCCGTGTCGGTGCTTTTGGCAACGAGGAACTGCAGGATTTGCTTTGAGGCTTCAGTCTTGCCAGCGCCAGATTCACCCGAGATGAGCACGCACTGGTCTGTGGTCTCTTCTTTCATGGTGTAGTACGCTTGGTTGGCAATGGCATAGAGGTGAGGCGGCAGCTCAAAAAGGGACTTGTTCGAGTATTCGTCAATGAGGTCTGACGTGAAGGTGCCAAGGTCCTCAAACGGATTGATAGAGATGAGAATGTTACGAATGTAGGTGTAGTTGAGCTTGGCCTCGAAACGGCTCTTGAGGTTCTCCACAAAGACATCGACATCAGTGTAGTTTTCCAGCATAACGCTGCGCGACAACCGGCCGGGCGAGTGGATGGATAAGGGCGGTGAGAGAAAGGAAGGGTGCGTGCAGCTTGCGCATGGTCAAGAAACGGCCAAGAAGGGAGAGCAAAGGAGCCAGACAGCAAGCGTGGACTCTGCAACCTACCAGTCATCCACTCCAATGGGCTCATTTTGGTGGCGCACCCACGAGACGCGGGAGGGCTCGATAACCGCGGCACTTTCAGGTACGGCAAGGGACTTGCGCGCAGGGCCACGGGTGATGAGGGTGGCCACGGCCTTGCCGCGCTTATTGACAATTACGCTTCCTTTGCGACGAAGAGCCATGTCAGCGGTCTCGTCTCCAACGCGTTGCAACGGCGTTGGGGTGATTGGCACGAGGTCTCTCTGCCGCCAAGGGAGGTCAGCTTTGAGGGCTCAATGCGAGGTCGAAATCTGCAACTGGCAGCAACAGGAGGAAAGAGAGNGAGGGGGGAGGGAGAGCAAGGGGAGAGAGAAGCCGAGAGAAGAGGGCATGTGGGGAGGCAAGGGGGCGTTGTGAGCGAGGTCAGGGAGCCGTGTTGCTCGCTGCGAGCTGACTTGAGGGGGCGAAAAGGGAGAGCAGCACGGGGGGTTGGAGAGCAGAGCACACTGCCATTCCAAAGACAGTCTCAGGCACATTGACTCACCCCACGATGCTGAAGTGATACTGATGCTCTTTATCCCGGAGCAGCACTGCCACTGAGCGCCTGCTGCCACTGCCACTTGTGCCAAAAAAAAAAAATATCACAGAGAGAGAGAGAGAGAGAGAGAGCAAGAGAGAGAGAGAATTGTAGCGGACACCCACAACAATAAAGAGAGCGACTGGTAACACTAAGGTATCACACACGAATTGAATTGTCAGATGAATTTGAGCCGACACATGTAACGATGGGTCATCTTTTGCGCGCGAGCGAATGGGTGATGGGTGGCTTGAACACGGTGCTTCAGCGTGTTGTGGTTCGGGATGCTGACATACATCTCAAGTGTGGTCAACACCTGTTCTGAGCAGTCGAGGAATTGTCAGACATACGTGTCTGTGCTGTGAGAGCAGGAGCGAGATGAGTGCGACGCGGCCGGCGGCGGTGGCGGCTGTGGCTGCACGTGGCCTGCGAGGGCCTCCCCGGGTGGATCACAAGAAAATCCTGGCCGCCGGAGCTCAGTTTGACCGGAGTTTGTTTTCCACCACCATTTCTTGCAAGGGAATTCGTGTCCCAGCGCGCAAGTGCAACCCGCTCTGTCAGCGGCTCAAGGCAGATCTGCTCAAGCTCCCCAAGACGCGTACAGTCGTCTCGGCAACAACAGAGCAGGGCGGCGAGGCAAGCGAAGAGAAGGTCCCCGAGAAAATTGTCCTGCTTGACCTCAAGTACAATGAAGAGGTGCTGCCCGATAAGATCCAGGACTGCGTGCGCGAGGCCGGAGGCGAGGTCGTGGACCACGAAGTCTTTGTTGGCTATGACAGTTGGAGCGCCGAAGACATTCTCAAGGCAGCTCTTCCCGCTGACCTAGACGAGGTACAAGCACGCTTGAGGCCCGCATTATTGGTGAACTGCGACACGCCCTGCCCGCTGCACATGCTTGCCTTTCAGCCTCTCCGCCTTTCTCATCCCCTTGGCTGCCAACGTGCAACCCCATCTGCTTAGGTGACGACGGCCTTTGAGACTGTGGGCCACTTGGCCCACATGAACTTGCGCCACGAGCAGCTCCCGTATCGCTTCTTCATCGGGCAAGTTATTCTCGATAAAAACAAAGCCATTCGCACCGTCGTCAACAAGACCAAGAATATTGCCTCGGAATTTCGCGTCTTTCCCATGGAGGTCATTGCTGGTGATGGCGACACCCGCTGCGAGGTGCGGTCACCGATAGACAACAAGCCACCAGCTCGCGCTCACAACTTTGGTCCTGCTAAGTGTACTCGAGCTTACACCCTTGCACATGTGCAATCCATCCGCCTTCTTCTGCTTCTGGCTAGGTGCGCGAGAATGGTTGCCGCTACCAGTTTGACTTTGCCAAGGTCTACTGGAACTCGCGCCTGCACACCGAGCACCAGCGTTTGGTGGATCTGATCCAGCCTGATGAGGTGTGCAATTGGAATCATCTGGCCCCCTCGTGCTTCACTTGGTGCACGTCCTGCCGTCTCCAACCGCACGCACACACACACACACACACACACACACACACACACTTACCTCGATGCTTGACGTCACAGGTTGTCTGCGATATGATGGCCGGAGTGGGCCCCTTTGCTTTGCCCATTGCCAAAAATGGCCGTCGAGTCTACGCCAACGATCTCAACCCAGAATCATACGCAGTCAGTCTTATCGTGTGTCACCCACCGGCTTGCCGTCACTGCTATGCATGACATTCTTACGGCTGTGCTCATGCGAGTTTTGCAGGCTCTGACTCAAAATGTAGTCTTGAATCGAGTCCACAATCACGTTCAAACGTACAACATGGATGGCGGTGCGGTGGTTGCTCACGTCCTGGATCTCGTGGATCGGGGGGAGGCACCAAACTGGGGCCCGTTTCACCACGTCATTATGAACCTACCTGCCACAGCCATCGAGTTTCTTGGCGTATTCCGGTCAGCCTGCTCCGTGCTGCAGCCAACCCAATTTTCTCGAGCATTTGGTTCCTTATTGCTTGCTCACATTGCCCCCTCTTTGCATTCTTCCAGCGGTCTGTACCACTCGGAAGCTCGTCGCAAATATCCGTTGCCAATGATACATTGCCACTGCTTTAGCAAGGTGCGAGCCTCGGCCTGGTTCTATCTAGCTCTTGCGCGTCCATCTTCTCTTTGTGGGCAGCCGTGACATTGACACACGGTGTATACGGGGATTGCTCCAGGGCCCTGACTATGACCTGGACGTCCGGCAGCGCGCTGAACATTATCTTGGCGGTGCTCTTGAAGAGGTACAGCTCGAGGAGAGAGAAGAGTATGGGATGAAAGGCACGCCGGCTCCAGACAAGGCGCCGTGCATACTGTGTCCCTCACCCTCGTTGTGTCACTTGTTCAATGCGCCCTTAAGCAGGAGACAACGGTGCACAATGTACGCAATGTCTCGCCGCACAAGGAGATGATGTGCATTAGCTTCCGCCTGCCTCGTGCCGTGGCCTACGCAGATCCGAATACGCCGGTCACTGTCAAGCGCGAAAGTACAGATGTTGCCGCCGAGACCAAAAAGCCCAAAGTTGAGGTCGTGTAGTCTCTCATCTGTCCCAATCGAACAGCAAAGTCTTTCTTGCACCATTCAGGATGCTGGAAACACTCAGGAACCTAACATTAGCACGCCAAACACGGACGCAGTGGCAGGTCACAGATGACAAGAAGTATTGCAAAGCAGAGATGCAACCCATTTTTATGCAACTTGATAAGAGTCGACAACAGCAGGCTCAGACACAAATTGCAGACCGCAGACACAGATTGCAGACCGCAGACACAGACTGCAGACCGCAGACACAGACTGCAGACCGCAGACACAGACTGCAGACCGCAGCCACAGACTGCAGACCGCAGCCACAGCCACAGCCACTCAAAAATTCACACAAAAACTACGGACAAGTTTGTGGCAGTTACGTGAACACGACTCGACAAGTTCGTGCGTTTGTTCGACTTGTTTTTTTTTTTTTTTTCTGGATCTTCAAGGCTTCGAGGAAACGGTCATGGCGGGCTGCGAGGCAGGGGTGGTGGCAAGCACAGATGAGCGCGTCTGCGGTCAAGTTGTGCTGGCATTTGCGTCCAGTCGCGCCTGGTTCCAGGTAGGTTGTCATCTCAAACAGCTCGCCGATGTCCGATGCGTGTTGCCATTTGCTTACGCTACCCACGACGATCATCTTCTCGCACCTGCAGGGCCGGTTCTCGACCGAGCCACATCGTAGTCTTTTTGCCACGCGCGAGGAGCTCGAAGACTGGGATGCCGAAGGGTTTCACAAATGCTGCTACGGTCACAACCCGCTGGAGCTGCCCACTTTTTTTCGCCTTACACTCATCGAACAACTGCCGGGAACGCAACCTGCCGACTGGGTGGGTTACCTGGCTAGCCGATCTGGGGCTCTTTTCCCCCCTGTCAGCCTTATTGTCATGGTCCTTTAAGCGCCCGTGTTCATTATTTAGTCTTGCCTCGCAAATAGGTGAGTCGTGGCGTGGTCGCCATGACTAACGGCGATAACGCTATCCTTCAGGGGCAGGGCTTCGACTTTACCACAGATGAGTTTCTGGTCGATGATGAAGCGCGCGCACTTGTGGCGGCGGCATTTCCAAACATGGCCACCCAAACAGAGCCCCTGGTCTGCATCGGCCACCTAGAGCTTCACAAGGTGAGGGACAAAGCAAGTAGGGGTTTTTTTTCGTGTCCACCCTCATTCCAGGTCAGGAGGGCTCATCTCCACTTTTCGACTTGCATGAATTATTTTAGAAGCATTTTGAGCCACCAGCCACCGCCCCACCAGCAAAGCCCGGGGTCGCGGCGGCACTTTGGGACGAATAGTGCCAAAGTATATGCATGTCCATAATCGTCAGTGCGTGCGAGGTCGGCAGGAGAGCATTCCTGCTGGACAAGCAGTTGGGCTTGAAGCACCGATGTCGTAACTCTGTGAAAGTTTCTGTAATAGGATTGGCCAAGACTTGGATACACTTGGAAGGCGGAAAAGAGAACAAAATTGAGATGGATTGCTAGAGTAGAGGCATCAAAGCCAAAGAGATGCCATATACTTCGAACCATGCAAAGGCTGTGGTGCCGGAAGCGCGGGAGGCAGGAAGGAGGCAAGAAATGCTGTGCGTCTTGTGTGGGCGCGTGCGTGTGCAAAACACACGCACATACCCATACAGATGCACATACACATACAGATGCACATACACATGCACATTCACATACACATGCGCGCAAGAGAACACCGACCGACAGCAAAAGTATTGGCCTACTGGACCTAAGCACAGACTGCGCGCATTGAGAAGAAGCAAAAACAAGTGAAAAACAAAAAAGAAACAAACAAACGACGAAAATCAAACTGAAAGTGTTCAAAAAGTCAAGTGAGTGGGCCAACGCTGGTACGAGTGCATTCACATAATAAGCACTGGTCCATAGCATCCGTGAGTAGAGCTAGTGGGGGTACGCGGGCTCCTCAGTTAGTGCGGTTGGGACCACATGACGTCTAGTTGATGGAGCCACGGCGGAAGTCGCGGACCAAGGAGTGATCGGGCGTGCTATCATCTTCTTCGTGAACAAGGAGCGGTGCCTTTTCGCCCTTGGCCTTGCTGGGGGTGGTTGGCGCCGAGTTGGGCAGCGTGGGCATGACAAACTTAATCTGCTTCCAGCTGAGGGCAAGCACAACCAAGCTAAAGGCCGTCAAGCCGACCATACCACCCCAAAAGGCATCGCGGTGATCGGACAGCGTGGCCCACAGCGGGCCGATGATTTGCGCTGCAGATACAACGGAGCGACGGATGCCTTGACCCAAGCCCTGTGGTGTGCGGGAGACCGTCAATGAGTGCACGGTCGTTGGTGCGGTTTGCAATGTGGAACGGCTTCGTGAGACCAATGCAAGGAAGGCCACAAACCTGAGCGCGCTTGGTTGTGAGCTTGGCCTGGAGCGCGGGGGCGATGTAAACAAAGGGAAGGCCGATGACGAAGATGACAGACGAGAAGATAAACTTCCAGACATCGCCAGTGTCGTGGGAGGGCATGAGCCAAAAGAGGAAGAAGCCCACCAACTGGAGCGTAATTCCAATGGTAATCTCAATGCGATCAGCAATGTTGTATTTGCGCCTGAGTGTCAGTCAAAACACGAGGGTGAGTATCAAGGGACTAGATCTCGAGCGTTTCGAGGCATCAGGAGGAAAGGAAAGGAGACGGAAAAAACAACAACAACAACAACAGCAGCAGCAGCAGCAGCAGCAGCGGGGGTGTGAATCTGGCGAGCATCTGGGAGGAAAGCCGGGGAGCGTACTGGATGCGAATCATGGTGTAGTAAGTGCCAATGGCCAAGACAGCTGTTGCGATGAAGCTGATTGAGTTGGCTGTTTGCTTCCAATGGAAGGTGGCCAGCGTGAACGGGGTGAGGAAGGTCTCGTAGGCTGTCTGATTGAACATGTTGAGGAACTGAACAAGGAGAAGAGAGATGACGCCGAGGTTGAGGTACTCGGAGCAGCGGGGGCTGTCTTCCTCCTCTGGAGCGGAGGGTTTATCCTCGGCGATGACATTGAGGTTGCGGGTGACAGGGGCGGAAGGCATGTCCTTGAAGACGAAAACGCAGAGGATTTGACAGATGATCCAAACAATGAGCATAAGCAAGCCCGGGGAGTTGAGGGGTGTCACATGCAGAGCGCCAATGTGAAAGTCGACCTTGACCAGTAGAAAGTTGAAAGCGGGACCAACAATAAGGCCGACAGCACGAGCGGTCATGATCCAGCCCATATTGGAGTTGACCTCCATCGGGGAGGAAGCGCAGCGGATGATAAAGGCGAAGATGGCGGCACCGGCAGCGGCGCCCATACCAGCGATGAAGCGTGCCTCGACGTTGGAGTAGGTATCGTTGGCGACCAGGTACAAGAGGTTGCCGACAATCTCAAAGCAATTGGAGATGATGAGGATGGAGCGCGTGGAGAAGCGATCGGCGATGCGACCATAGATCGGGGAGAACACAAAGTTGGCCAAACTAAAAGCTGAGATGGAAGCGCTGAGCCAAAACTTGTGATCGGCACCCAAATGTTGAAGGTAGAGCCAGGCCGAGGGCAGAATTACGGCGTACTCGACACCGGTGAAAAACCAGAAAAAGGCCAGCACGTAGAGCGAGCGCTGCTTGTGCTTGGCCGTAAACTCGGTCATATCCATCTTTGCGGGTGAAGGTCTCCACGAACCTGCACCCCTAAGCCGCGTCAACACCAAGCAAGGGGCAAGGGACAGGCGTTGGAGAATGGAGGTGAGCACGGCTGGTTGCCAGCATCAGCGGCAAAGGCGAAAAGGAGCCGAGGGGAGGGCATCCTTTTCGGGCACGAGCGCACCTTTTTTTGTCTGTCTGGTGTGCCCCGTCGAAGGCACGGGGTTCAAGGGTTCAGGAAGATCGGCACCCCAAACCAAGTCCAACCAATCCAGCAAGAAGCCAGGGATCGGGTCTGCACAACGGCCTCCTCTATCAACAGTACCAGGGCGATGGCACGACGGCAGCAGCGTGGAGAATGAATGAGAGAGAGAGAGAGAGAGAGAGAGAGAGAGGAGTTTTGGAGATGCTGTAACAAAGCAAGCGGCACAAGCAACATCCACATGTGCACACACACACACACACACACACACACACACACCAGTTGCGGCAAGTCGCCCTTGGAAGCTTTTGTCGTGGTGATGAGGTGCGACATGTTTATCCGGTTTAAATAAAAGTGTAACTATGAATACAGTATCTCTTACGAGCGCACTTCTCTTCTCTCTCTCTCTCTCTCTCTCTCGCTTTCTCTCGCGTTAAAGCAAATTTTGTCTCCTCACTGGATCTTGGGACGAGGCGTCGCCGTTGACCTTGAGCCGATACACGTCGATTGGAGTTTACATTGTACCACCATGCTCAAGGGATTGCGACAAGTGGCCAGCGCGCTGGCCATGCCCAGCCGGTCTGCAGTGCTGGCGCGTGGCCTGGCCACCAAGATGCCCGAAATGCCCACCTGCCTGCACGTGGGCCAGTCGATCGAGACGACCCGGTCCTTTTCGCCGGAGGATGTCCAGGCCTTTGCCGAGCTGAGTGGGGACTTTAACCCGCTGCACCTTGATGCCGATTTCGCGGCCAAGACCCGCTTCGGCCGTCCCATCGTCCATGGCGTCCTCATCAACGGGTTGGTGCTTTGCCTGCCTCGTCTGCGGGCACGTGGGCACGTGCATCTGATGCTCACTCGTAAACTCAGATCTGCCCAAACGCATGGCGCCTGACCAACCACCATCGCTTGATCCACTGCTTTTAGTCTCCTTTCGGGCATCATGGGCGCGCAATTGCCTGGTGCAGGCTCCATTTTCCTGAGCCAAACTCTCTCCTTCTCGGTGCGTCACTCCCTGCCCAAGCACCCCGTTGCCAAGTCCACAATGCTTTTCCCCACAGCGGATATCTCAGCTTGATCAGACCTCACTCACCTCCCTTCTCACGGTCATCCGCCAAACAGGCCCCCTTGTTCGTGGGCGAGCCCGTTACCGTGCGCGCTACCGTGGACAAGTTTCATCCAACCAAGCCCGTGGTGGAGCTCAAGACCATCAGCCTCGACAAGGATGGCCAGCAGCTCATGGCTGGTACGGCAGTCGTCATGATCCGTCCAGAGCTCTACGCTGCCTCCATGGACGCCGCCAAGAGCAAGTAGAAGCTCTGACATCCGAGAAGCACGCAGGCCGCTGATAGCTGAAAACGCGTCTACTCCTTGTTCTGCCCACCACCCTTCTTTGGATTTTCGCTTGTCCCCATTGAATCTCACCCTTGCCGCTTTTGTGGACCCCTTTGGTCTTTGGCACCATTGGCTGCGTAAACACCGGGCACACAAGGCAATGTGTGGGGTGGCTCATTTTTTTCTTCTGTTTTAAAGTCAATCAAAGTCAGTCAAAATTAACCCGGCTTTGGACCTTCATCAAGCTTACTGGCTTTACGCTTGATGGATGTCACGCTTAGCTTTGACTTTAAGCTTACTGCTTGGCTTTGGTTTGACGCATGTCACACGGGAAACGCGGCTTGCCGCGACGGGAAATCCAACTTGTGCTTGGTTGTTTAAACCGTTCTCGTTGTCTTTCATATTTATCGCTTGGACGACGGTAGCAGTGCCGATGCGCCCGTCGTTCGATAGAGCGTTACTCAACGCATCGTTTGAGTCGGGTTTCATGTCTGTCTGGTATCTATGTACCGAGATAGCGCCCGAATACACAAATGAGCGCGTCAAAAAGGCTGGAAATTCGCCCGAAAACTATGGAGAAATGATGTCGAAGATGATGACATTTGACCCTTCCTCGTCTCGGTCAGTCCCCGCACGCGCGGGCTCGTTGTGCTGAACGGCGCGATCCAGACGTGTGCAGGCTTATGAGCCCGGAAGGCGGCGCAGTCAGACGGGTGTGCTCTTGGTTCGCTGGACGACGCGCGCAGACTTGGTCCAGTTTTTTTTCCCGCTGCGCGGCCTTGATCTACGAGACGACGCAGTCGGTGTATTCCTTCCCGTCGGCCCCGTGGTCTCAGCACCACGTGAGGTGCACGACGGCACAGAGTACTCGCACCGTTGAGAGGTTTCGTTGGCACATTTTGCTATCTACTGCAACAGGTGCGTGAGCATCGAGTGGATTTCAAAACCAGCGCACGTGGTAGCAAGTAGTCCGGCCTGTGAATTTATCCAATCTACATCAGTTCCTCACCAATATTGCACTGATGGCCTTCATCTAGGCACTTTGCTCCCAATCACTTCTGCAAAGGAGGTTGCAGCACATACTTGACAGCTCCCCTGTGCACCATGAGTGCACCGAGCAATGCGCAAGGCAAATCGTCTCAATTGGCGGTCAAGGCATCAGCAGTCACCACCAAACATGGTGACGAGTCTCGGGACCAGAAGGGCGTCTTGTTTTCTACTCTTTCTCAGGCAATCGGACCTCCCCCAGCCTCTGCACTGGCAGTACCACTTGACCGGATTCACACTGGCAAAACGGCAAAGCATTTGGTGGCTTCCGAGCCTGTTGATCTGAGCAGCAAAGATACTGCCGCAGCGCAGGAGCAAAATGCCATCACCTCGACTTCGCATTCCAGCAAGAGGTCAAGTGGCAGCAAAGTGGAGTGCAAAGATTGTGGGAGGTCGGTGTCTGATTCCAGCGCAGCGCGAACGCACATTGAGCAACATCACCGGGGCAAGCGGCTGTCAGACTGCTTCCCAAGTGCGAGCACGATGCTGTGTGGAGAGGAAGACTGCACTTTCGAGTGGTTTGCAAGATCTGCCGCCCCCTTTGCTACGCATTGCGCTACCGCGCACGATTGCATGGACGGTGGCGTAGCAGCTTTTGGCAAAGTTTACGAGCCGTGCAAGCAGTGTCTCCGGTGCTTTGGCTGCTTCAAGAACTCGGCGGCCCTGCGTAAGCACAAATCGCGCGCAAAGTGCACGCCTTACAAACCTCCCCTAGTGCCATACCGCCCAAAGCCGGCTAGAGACAAGCCCATAGCAAACCCCAAGCCTGTAGAGGTGAAGCACTGATGCTCATGACACACGGACTGTCCTTTCTTGGGTGGGATTTTTGATGAAAATAGGCCAACTCAATCGTGTGTCAAAAGCTGGGTGCCGGCGATTGCCCACAGGAGACTTGTCTACCAAATTGTCAAGCGCGCTTTCGGTCTCGGCGAGACTGGGTCAGACACGTG